TAAGGTTAAAAGTTGTTCATTTCAGTTGATATTTGAATAACTTTCAAATAATTTAAAATGCCAGCAAATTTTGTAATTTAATTGAATAAAAAGACAGTAATTTTTGATTGACAAGTAACTGAAAGGAAATCTAGCGCAATTAATTTATAATTCTGGAAATAACCGTTTTGACAATTGACAAATTTGACAATTTTTGACAAATTTTCGAAATAAGGCAAGCATCCAGTAAATTGTCCAAAAAAATTAATGGTTGTTGTATGGTTGTGTTGAAAAAACAAAAATTTTATCGTTCAATATGCGCATAATTAAAAATACCCATATAAAAGATTTTTTCATATTTTTTTCATATGTTGTGAGGCACAATTCAGAGTTTAGTAAGTATTTGACAAAAATATTTTGAAACAAAAACATTTAAATATGAAACAAGCTAAATTTAAACTACGAATGGACGCAAATTTTTCCCTCGAAAATCAGGTCGAAACTCTTTTGTAAATCTTGAAACTTTCTTATATCGTTATCGTTTGATTTAAAGCATCATTTGCTTTTAGTTTTAATTTTACAATAATTCAACCAGTTAGATTTTTAGATCTCCCGTTTGATCAACGCTTTCTGTTTCATTGTTTGGGTCATACTTCATTTGTAATTGATTTTCAAGAATACAGATATAAAGGTTTCTCTGTACTCTTTCTGAGAACTCTCATTCTGGCTTGGCTATTGAGCATCTAAATGAGGCTTTAAGCTAGAGTCAAAGTTGTGGTAGATCTAAGCATCAATATGATAAACACTAATGGAAAAATAAGGCAATATCAAATAAGGATTGAGTTGAAGATTTATCTTGTGCAAGGCCAAGGAAGATTCACATTTTATGGGAATAAGTTTCCGAAAAAGTATATCGATAATGTTTATAACCGTAGTCCAGGGGGTTGAAATTTTGATCATCTGTCTTTGTAGAAGATGCCTTTCGGCGAAGATTTTCTGGCGCCTATCCTCAGATTTTCCTCTGGTTTTAAGTATTCTACTGAGTAAAACGTTGTAATATATTCTGCTGGAATAAAATGGGCTAAAATGTTTTGTGAAATGAAATGTTTTTTTATCTAAGTGATGGAATAAGAATCGAAGATGCTATTTTTAGACCATATATGCGGGAATGTTTTGCATATGAAAAAGCAGATCCTTTTTTTTTTTTAAATTTGTTTTGAATGCTTTTGTTTCTTGCGTCAATCATTTCATTTTTAACAGTTTACTATTCTCTTTATCAATGTATTAAAAAGAAGTGGATGCAATACCCATAATTATTTCTTCAGCATTTTTCATTTTTGGTTTCGCTGTTTGCACTGGTTATTAGGGTGAAACGAGAGTGTTAGTGGGACGTGAGTCTCCATTATTGGCCAGAGTGTTGACAGAATAGAATTCTGATCAAGATAAATCCCTTTTGTGGAGAAGTATCTCTGGAAAAAATATTTTATTCTTAGCAAGTGAATATGCAACTGCATTTCTCTCATTTCCGGAAATAAATGATATTCTTGTCAAGTGCAAAAAATTATCAGAATTATGTCTTTCTGCAAAATAAATCAATTCCTTTGTAATTGAGTGCAGTAACTCATGGGAATTCTTCTGATTTTTTTTTCATATATTCGTTCCCACAAACACTAGAAGATAACCAGATGTATGTGTTCATTAAAACGTCATGGTCATTAATTCTTGGTTGGATTACCTTATTTGATAGGGGAATCTAGTGAATTTCCTTGTGTGATTCTGGAACAAAATAACAATAACTGCTGCCATCTCAAATATGAGGAATCGTATTAAAGTCATGTTGGTTCGGACGCTCGGATAAATAAGGATCGCATCGGATGTTTATGTATCAGGGCTATTAGGACAGAGTTTGGAAACAGGGCAAAATGGTGTTGAAAGAGCTACTGGAATGAATATTACAATCTGGAGTCGATGCGATGCTACTACAACTGATCTAAAGAGATGTATGAAATGTATGAAGGAGTGGATGATCAAAAAAGCTGCATCCACATTAGCTGAGAAACACGCTGTCAAAGCTTCATCATAGAAAAGAGGAAGCTTTTCCCTTAATTTAAACTGATACGAATCTGCCTTACTTCCTAAACCGTAAGCGAATCGAAAGAAGAACAAGGAGTGGATTTGCAGCCAAGAAGCTGGGAAATTGGAAATTCTATTCCATCATCGCCAATTCAAAGCAGAGCAACTGATATGAAACAAAAAACCATGAATAAACTAGCCGTAATCAACGTTCAAGGCCGACTAGTGAGGCTCAATGGAGAAGTACCATCAGTGTATTGAAAGTGCGAACATACCCCTCAAGATAGTTCCTGCTATAATAGGAGCCAATGAATTGGTATATATTACAGCTGCTGGAGATATTTCTCTATAAAATCAAGAAGAATAGCAATACATATCGGCTAGGGAAAATGAGGCTGGAATATAAGATGAGCATAGTCAGTTGATGCAAATATTACAGGGTGTGGAGATGAGGATAGAATCCTGCTGCTGAAAAAATACAGGGGCTGCATTCCATCAGAAGTCTCAGAGACTATTAAACAAAGGCTCAAGGCACTATCCACCAGGCCAATGCGATATACTAGAGAGACAGAGACCAAGCACTACGATGAGGAGGCAATAAATGCAAAATACCAAGCATCGAAACGCTACCAAAGAACAAGGCAGATCCTGAAGAGCCGCTCAGTGAAAAAAGCAGGAAAGGTCCATATAAACATGTACGCGCTGTTGCTATAGTGAGATGGCCAAAGGGAGAGGAGGAGGCCGATATGAAGACTCGGAGACTCCTCACACACGGAAGTTTCCACCTTAATATTCAAAAACTATATGCTCGCAGGAAAAGAAGTGGATGGGGCTTGGTGGATATCAAAACCACTATCCTGAACGAAACCTAGAGCATTCAGGAGTACATCAGCAAGCACTAAAAGATGAATTGCTTACAAAATGTTGAGGGAGCAGCAGACACTGGCCATCATATAGTAGTAGTAGGATATGTAAAATGTAGGCAAAAGTAGAAAAGTTATAACCAACTGTTCCAACTGGTATTGTTCGCAGGAATATCTGTGCAACATCTAGACTGTAGCCGAGGCTTTTCCAAGACTAGATGAGAGATTTCATAGGAAATCGCGGAAAATAAGGCTAAGATTTTGTAAAATTTTGATCCAGACGGACAAGCAAATTTCGGCTAATCAAATAGATATCATGGTAATTAGCTATCAGAAAATAGCGACGATGATAGGTTTAACAGTACAAAATGGCGGGAATATCATGAAGGAACAATATGAGAAGCTAGAAAAATACCAGGGCTTGAAAGAAGGAACAGAGAAGATGTCGCTTTCACCACTTCATAAGACCATATCGCTCCAATAGCAATCTCGCCATACTACTGTGATTCTTCGAAGCATTTGATAGTCAGGAGGGCCAAAGTGACTTCTGTGGTATGAGCACTCGACATGTTCCCCGTGACATGCTTAGTTGTGATTTCTAATCCAGAAAAGAGGCTCCAGCAGATTCGAGAAGGACATCAGAGATCTTTGTCTGGAAGAGTGTACCGCTAGGAACAGCTAAGATAGAATCTCCAAACTCCAGGCCTCTGTTAGAGGACTCATAATTGAAAATGACCCATATTACTCATAGGGAATGGGAAGGAATTTTTTTTTATGAGAAATTTGATAAGATGCTTGGTTCTTGCCGGACCAAATCATTGCCGCTGGAATAGAATTTTGCAGTTGGTTTAAGTGAGATTGTTGAAAGGCTAACGACTTTGCTTTTTTATTTGTTTTATTTATTTATTGTTTTTATTTATTTTATTTATTTATTATTTTTTTTATTTTTTTATTTATTTATAAAATTTTAAGAGCAAACTGAAAAGCTCGAAAATATTTTGCTGTTCAAAAATGCGTTGGTTTTGTATTCTCGTTATATTATTCTTTGCCGGTACCGTCAAAGTTGAAAAAGGTTGTTTCTCTGTTTACAACAATATGAGGCGTAATCAGAAATTACTAGAATTGTTAAATTACTAGTGCTTACTAGTGTGAATTGCGTAATACATTGATAAAAATTATTATTCTGACAATCAACTTTTACTTTTATTTTTTATTCTATTACTTGCATACTACTTTTGTACAAAATTAAAAGCAAAAATGAAGAATTTAGTATTAAGAATTTATTAGAAATACAATTGGCTGCTTTAAATATTACCCTTTTGAATTTTTTAAAAACTCAAATTCTTCGATATTCCTAGTTTGAAAGAAAATATTTTGATTTTTTCCAGTAAAATCGTTTATGGTTATTATTATTTCTCAGTCAGCGGAATATGATCGTAAATATGTTCAGAGTCTCAAGGAATCCCTTACAAATCAAAGTTTAAATATTAATTTGGTTAGACAGTTATCTTTTTATTGAATAATTTATATTTTTTTTGTATTGAATGTTGTTACAGTCTTTTCTAGTAGTGTGTTTTAGCTTTTTTATTAAAGCGAATGATCGCTAATGGTATTTTCGTTTTCTTTTGTACGACTGCTACGACTGCATTTATAATTGTTTATTAATTATTTATTGTCATAATTTTATTCATCTTCGGTGAAGTTGTAAAGAATTGTTAATTTTTATTATTAGTACAATTATTGTGACCGATATTTTGGTCGATTCGAAGGAGTTGCTGTTTGGCTACAGTGCGTAATAGTAGTGAAATGCACAGAATAAGGACAATAATATGAATAGTTATTGATCGCCACAATCAATTTATTTTGAATTGCTCATGTTTCTGCCTGAACCTCACCCTGAATTATTTTCTTTCTTTATATTTTCATTCTCCTATTACTTATGCCTATTATATTATTTGATGTGTTTGCTTTTGTTCTTAAATGAGGAAACTTTGTTTATTATTAGTAATTAACAATTTTTAATTAGCATTTCTTTTTTATAATCTTTTTATTTGCTTAATACTTATTTTTTTAAAAGTTAAGACTATGAATATCTATACTACCGACACTGATTTTAATGAAGTGATTGGTTCGTGGGCAATTTGGCCGCTCTTTAAAACGTAAGTTTCTAATTCTTTAGAAAAAAGGTGAGTTGTTCCATAAACGTTTAGCGTTTACAAAATCAAATTTTGTGTAGTTGTAAATCACATTATCTGCTTTATTCCCTCTTAAGTTGATTCCAACATTCATATATGACATTTTCTATACCTTTATTTCTGTTAGAAATGTATGCAGGTTGCGAAATCGTCCAGAAGCTAATTGGCTTCTTTTTTGTGAAGCGCACATTCATGTGAATTTGGAATTGTTGGTCAATTTTTTAGCGAACTATTCTTCTGATGGTAAATATTTTATCGGGAGAGCTTTGCGAGATGCAAGGTTAATTTAAAGTAATTTCCATTGTGTCCTATTGTAGGTTTTGTTTTATTTGCTTATTCATTTCCTGGCAATTATTACATAAGAATGTTTTCGCCAAAATTACACAAATATGCAAACTATGCGTGCATTATTGAATTTTTTTTATTAAATTTCCAGCTGCACTTGATTGTCGTTCGTCTACTTGTTTTACAAAACCTGAAACTGAAGAGAATTTTATTTATCGTAATTTACCATATCTGATTTATTCAGTTAGGGATTTCTGCAATTTGTGAGCTTTTTTTTTTTAAGAGTCCACTACTGATTAAACTCCGCTGGCTTGTTGCACCGGACAAATATGCCTGCGAGTCTCTTGATTTAAAATAGAAATACAGGTGAGTCGCCAGCATCACTCGGATTTTTGTACAGGTTTACTCCTGCGGAATCGAACCTCATCATCGGCGCTGAGCAAAACCCACCGAGTATCGCTGGCAGCAGTAGAAACCATTTCTTTTTCCATCGTCTTAGTCTATATATTGCCTATAGGTTCTTACGTGGCTGTATCAGTCCAGATCATTATCGGACCAGCTCGCTTTTGATGCCATCCAAAGTTTAGCAAGTAATAAAATACGTGTCAACTGCTGTGGTGGGGGACGAAGAATATGGATGACATAAATAACGGCCTTCTGTGAATTCATGCAAGTGGTATTTGAACGAAGGTGGATGCGATCATATGAGATTTTATCTACTCGGCGTATCCGTAAGATGTATCTTAGACATGAGTGGTAGGTAGATAATTTCTTTATGTCCTTCACTCTCCTTGGCCATATCTCGCAGCGGTATAGTAAGATAGAACGAATCATGGCTATAGTTGCAGGATTTTAAAGTGATTTCGCGGCAAGTCCATAATGATTTCATCAACTGAAAGAAATTATTTCTAGCTGCCATTATTCAGACTGTAATTTCGTCTTTCGCTTTGCCATTTGGGATTAGAGTGAATCCTGGATATTTGAAATCTGGCATTCCTTCAACTGGCAAAGAATTGATAAAAATAGGTATTTTATCAGCATCTTGTATATAAGACGAAAATACTTTAGTTTTATTTACATTGATCCTGAGTCCGATTCTTGTTTCAGTTGCCGACACCTTGTTTAACATTCATTTCGTCATAACTATTAGCAAAAAAGACTGTATCATCAGCGTGTTCAAGATCTATGATATTATATTCTGGACTAATTTGTACACCTCTTGTATACCTGTTGAATATTGACTAGCGGTGTCCAATATCCAGTTTATCGTATTGCAGGGGAAAAAACGCAGCTTTGACGAGCACCAGTTTCTATTTGAAAAGTCTTATTTCCCCATATACACTATCTTCTGCCGATGTATGCTGTTAAAACGCCTTTATGAGTCGAATGATATTCTCTGGAACACCGTCGCTTTCCATCACTCTTCAAGGCGCCGCTGCCGCTCTAGAAATTGAATTGAAAGCTTGTAATTTTTCGAATCATTCGATAGTCAGAGTCTCCTCACACTCATGCTTTGGCAATATTTTCAGACAGTTGCTTCCGTTATCCAATTAACGCTTCCTACTAGTATGCCCTAGCTTGAAAGTGGTTGACTTTCGGAGACTTACCTTTAGTTGGGACCAGTATCTATCTCCCATTCCAGAGATGTCGTTTTGATATTTATGTCATTGAGGGCTTCAATAATTCGGTTTCAAAACTATCTCCGGTTTCAAAATCTTCCAGTTTGAGATGGTTGAAAAATTTTTGTTTCTTGTGAGTTGTCTGTTTTATGCGAATCTTGGCTGGAACCATAACATGGCCTGATGTGATCCATTAAGATTGCCGGTTTCAGCACCCCGATGGGATCGACTATTTAGTATGGAACTCTTCCAACGGCGACTGACTAAAATATAATAACTCTTGTTGGAATGTTAGTTATCCGAAGAATTCCAGATGACTAGACGTCCAGAAGCATGCATTAGTAACAAAAAGCCCATGTTGTTAGGCAAAGCGAAGAAGGCACTCTCCATTGGTGCATCGGACCACAAGCCAGATTTATCAATCACCGAGTTTATTTGGGTGGCATCGTGACCTACACGCTCATTTCGGTCTACTCCGATTATGACCATGCTATTTTTCGATAGAGATATTGTCTTCCATTCAATCAGAGCGGATCGAATTTTTTCAGATATGGCAATCGTTACGCCATTTCGCTTTAAGTTATCCGAAACACCACAGTGATGCAGCCAGTATCTGCTCGGAGCCAGCTTTGCATGAGATCCGTAGCGGGGGAGATAGATCTCCGATAAACATGCGACATGCACACGATGTTCAGAAAGAATGTGGTACAGTGATCGCGTAACTTGTGATGTCCATAAGCATTCTAATGTTCCATGCTGATACGGCATCTCTCCGCGCGTACAGAGAGTCTTTTCCCTTGATTCCCTTGACTTTTGAGCAGTTATCGTAACTCGCGAGCAGATCATACTCTTAAGCCTCGAGGTCGTTTGACTACTATCAAATTGCATACTTATCTTATGTACCACCGGGCTGAGATTATTTTTGTCGGATACTTTGTCAAGAACACCTTAGAGTCACCACAAGATTTTTATTATCATGGCAGGTTTACTTCTGTCAAAGGCAAACACAAAAAAAAATTAAGAAAGGATGAAAAATAAACCAGAAAATAAAAAAAAATTTGTTTAAAATGTGTATGTAAAATTGTTTTTGCGATTTGATTTAAATTTAATTTATTTAATATATATTTTAATATGATATTAATATATATATATATATATATATATATATATATAATATTAATATTTATTTTACTTTAATTGTTTGAAGAAAAAAAATTTAAAAGTTCAAGAGAACCGAATTGTTATCAAAAATTTAAAAAATAATTTACGAATAAAACAAGATAAATCAATATTTTCCTGAAACAACCGCTCAAATTTAATTTAATGATTTCCACCTGATATCTGAAAAATTATTCGAAAAAGTATTATATTTTAAATATTTTAATGTTTAATATAATATTTCAAATGAAAGAAAATTTAAGTAAAATTATTAACAAAATTATTTTTAGAGGGAAACAGTTGAACATTGCAGAAACAGAGAATCAGCTCGATAATATAATAATAAGAGACTGAGAAAAACCTATTTTTTTCGAGAAAATATACTGAAAATATTTCACTAATTGAATGAATTACAAATTGAACTTATTATGAAGTTATTAGGCAAGACCTTATGTCAATAGATTTCAGTATCTTTATTGCCTTTAGTATTGTTAAGGTAGATTGCAGAATTTGGTATAATCGAAGTCGAATTTCCTGCATGATTCTTAGGGAATCCAGAATTGGAGCTTAGTTGGACATTAATTGATAGAATCTGATTTAAATTTAAACGGTACAAAAAATATTTGGAATGTTTTCATTTAATTTAACATTTAATAAATCTATGTGAGGGACATGATATGTTATATTCTAAGAGGGAATAAACAAATTTTTGTATATATGTTAATGGGAAAAGGTGCCAGTTTGTACTCTTGAAAGCTCCGAACATATAATTTAAAATTTTAGTTAACTGGTTACGATTGCTGTGGAAATTAAAGTTAAGGTTATCAACAGTTAAATCAGGATCTAATTTCATAATTACTTTCACATTACCGACAAATATTGGGGAAGGATCGGATAAATTTAAGTTAATATGGAGAATTCTTCATTTTTCAACAGTAGATTGCCCACCTCTCAATACATATATCGCAAATGCCTCAGTCACAAAGGTCAGAAAAAAGATGACTGATGATGAATTTTTATAATGATAAACTGTAATTGTCGTCGTAAGATAATCATATATTTCACTTCATTTAGTTGAGTACCTTGCTACTAATACATTTAATAGAGAGCGAAGACAATAGACAATCATATCACTCTTCTTAGAAATAGGGGTAATATAAAACAGTTTCCAAATTTTGGGACAACTATTACGATGTCTTTAAAGGTTTTTTCAGTCTTCGACACCAATTTCCCTTTAGGCTTTTATTTTCAGCAAACTTATTTCTAAATAGTTTGTTCGGATTGGTGAGCTGTCGTGCGAAAGATTGTTGGGATTGGAAAGATTATTAATTGTATTGGTGCGTTGGTGGCCCGGTGACAAGGTGGTTCCCATCGAGAATGGTTGGGATTCGAATCTGGTCGACCACATTTCGAACCTCAGCGTCATCGAATAAGGAATGCAAAAAATGGCTCACTGAGTTGATGCTTCTGCTTGCTTTGAAGCGCCGATGCTGAGGTCCTGTCCTCACCAAAAGTATATCTGTCCTTCGTAAATCCGAGTGATGCTGGTGACTCACCTGTACTTATTTTTCTGGCAGCTCTCACCATTACTGGTTAGGCTGGTTCTGCTGGCTACAAGAGTAAGACGTCTCCAAGTTGCTCGGTGTGACGTCATCGCTAGTAGTAATAGAAGCCATTCATTCTTCCATCGCCTAAGTCCATATATCGCTGGTCACCCTATATGTTCAAAATCTTTCCTGAATGTATCAGTCCAGGTCTTGATTGGCCCCACCTCGCTTTGGACGCCATTCATCACACGATTTAGCAAGTAACGAAATGTGCGTCAACTCCTGTGGTTGACGACGAAGAACGAGTCCTAACCAGCGACGCTCTGTGATAACATTGTTAATGCAGGTGGTATCTGAGCGAAGGTGGATACAATCATGTGCGATTTTATCTGCTCGGCGGATCCGTAGAATATACCTTAGATATAAGTTGTCAAACGCTAATAGCTTCTTAATATCATCCACTCTCATTGGCCATGTTTCGCAGCCATATAGCAAGATCGAACGAATTGCAGCTATATGGACGTGGATTTTCGTCTTTATGGTGATTTCGCGACAGTTCATCATAGAGGTTCATAAAGGTTTCATCAACCGGAAAAACAATTCTAGTTGTCGTTATCCGGATTCAATTTCATTCTTTGCCTGTCCGGTATTAGAGAGGACCCAAGGTATTTGAAATCGGGCACTTCCTCAACCGGCAATGAATTTATAAAAAGAGGCATTTTATCAGCTTCTTGCACATAAGACGAAAAGACTTTCGTTTTATTCACATTGATCCTGAGTCCGATTCTTGCTGCAGTTTTTGACACGTTATTTAGTATTATTTGCATTTCGTTATAACTGTCAGCAAGTAGGACTACATCATCAGCGTATTCTGTGATAGTCTGTGATGCTATGTTCTGGACTGATTTGCACATCTCTTGAGTGCCGACAAGCGATATCCATTATTCAGTCTATCGCATAGTTGAATATTGCAAGGGAAAGCACGCAGGCCATGACGGACACCTGTTTTTATTTCAAAGGAATCTGTCAGTTCCTCATATGTACAGACTTGCAGTAGGCTATCTGTATTTCTCTCACCAAGTGGCTCAGTGACAAATTTTTTCTGGTCCGACAAGCAAATGGAGCGACTTTAATCATCAGTGGTGAATGCTGTTAGAAAAAAAGCAATCACAATTGAAATAATGGAAGCCTTAGCTGCGATATCGCTTTTTTTCGGGTATATGTACAAGATAACACATTATTGTAGGTTTTAATTCATAGATGTTCCAGTATAATTTTTAGCTAGTTTCAGCCCTACAATAATTCACCACTTCTATCATCATGATTCTAAGGAACAAGACTTCACTTTCCCAGATTTCGCTGCAGGATTTGTTATTTCAAAGGGATTATACGACATTATTAATATATCAGTTGAACGCTTCAGTGAATTTTCAATCGACGCGATGCATGAGGTTCAATTTTTAAATAACCGATTTCTTTTCAGCTTCATTTTTCTTCTCAACTCCACAAGCTATAACGCTCATTTTTTTAATTCATTTAGATCTAAACATGTAAACCTTAGGATTCTTCCATTTAAAACTAGACCATCATAAATGCGATACCCGTTCTTTGAGTAAACTTGTCATTAAAAATAAACTCGAGATGTTGATGGGTGCCTAAACTTTCCGTGGTTATTTGGCAAAGATGTGTGATTCTAATGCACTTAGAGTCAGAAATACCAGTGGAATCAATCAAATTAGAGATGGTGAGTGCTGTTAGACGAAGAAATGAAATGAAAGAGATGTAAATTGTAAAGACTGTAAAGACTTTTTGAAATTCTTTTTGTAATATGTAATTTAGGTTTGGAATTTTGCAGCCTTTTGAATTAAATATTTAAGAATATTTTATATAAGCACAAAATATTAAAATCACTGTAATGATATTTTTCCAATGAATCCTTGTCGGATTTCTCTGGTCTATGTTGCCAAATAGCGAATGCAAAATGCTAGGACTTTTCATGTCATCATATTTTCGCCTGTCTCGAGGTGATGAAACCCCGCTCTGTTTTGCATTAATCTTGTTTGATCCATCCTTAACTGTTGATAAGCCAAACCACAGGCTGGGATTCCATTCTTTATCACCCTATAATAGTATTTTGCTTATTCACCTACTAATTTACATGTTTCAAATTTAGCTGGCTAGGCTCTTTTTCGATTCGGTTGGAATAACGCTCTTGAATTCAAATCGCTTTTGTCTTTTGAATAATGAAACGGATTGTGTTACTAGATACATCAAACCAAATTACGCGGTTAATTTTGATACCATTTTTGATGATATTTTGGTACCATTATTTTTCACGTCTTAAACTTTGCCGCGAAAATTTTCAAATTTTTCTTAAATCGGCTAAGTTATTCTTGGTAATTTTTTTTGTTGACAAAGAAGTTTCAAGGACTGTGACAAAAATGTGACAAATCGAGATGTTTTTTTTGCTATTAAAACCTTCAGTGATTATCATAAAACTCGTATCACTGTTGTGAAACGAACGTGGGCGAGAACGGCGAAATATGTGGAATATTTTAGCGATCAACAGGATCATTATATTCCAACCATCGTTCTTGGCATTAATAATACAAAAAGAGGTGTATTTGGTATTTTTTCCATGAATAGCTGTTAAAGTTATTACTAGTTGATATCGGCTTACTTCATATAGGTCACTGTGCCAAAACTTTATCGATTCTGAAACACTTCTTGTCCCATAATGAAGCTAAATATATGTCGTGGTTTGTAATTGCCGATGATGATACTCTTATCAGGTATGTTTAACGCACTTTTTGTAAAAAACGCCAGCATATAATCGATACTCCTTTTACTTGAAGGTGTTTTTTTGGAAATTTTTTATTTTTTAGTGTTCGGCGGCTTTATAGATTATTGTCTTGCTATGATGCAAGATTAAAGCTCATAGTTGGTGAGAGATATGGCTATGGTTTTAGTGGTGTTGGCTTATATGGTTATGATTATCCTACCGGCGGAGCAAGGTTTGCGTCTCAAAATTTCGTGTTTTTTATTTTAAATTAACCGTGAGATCGTAAATTTATTAAATAAATGTGAAATATTATGTAATATTGTGGTGATATTACGTGAATAATTTTGAATTCTTTAGTATGATATTCACGCAAGGAGCTATGCAAAAAATGGCTAAGAGTTGTAGCTGTCCTAATGTTGACTCTCCAGATGATATGATAATTGGTAAGACCCATATATCCATTAAAAGTGTTGACAATGGTTTCTTCTATTTTCAGGATCATTTATTTTATTTGCCCGACAGCGAAAATTTAGTATCTTTAATGTCTTGTTTTGTACAAGAATTGTAATGTAGGGTATTTTGCAGGTATGTGTGCTCGACGTTTTTTCATACCCATTATTCATTCAACAGCGTTTCATCAAGCTCGTTCTGTTGACTATCCTCGCTTATATCTCGAGAAAATACCACCTATTTCATTTCACAAATTTGAGGACATTGATCCTTACGAAGAATATGCAACTTGGCTTCACGATACTGACTCTATTCCAGCTAGTCGACCTCTTCATTCAGAACTGTAGTTTCTTCCATGTTCTTATTTTAATATTTGGGATTCATTTATTTCAGATAGAAGTTGCATATTTAATTTATGTATACGGACCATAATTTTGTTCGAACAGTTTTTACTGGTCTTTGTTGTTGATTACTTTCTTTAAGACTTACGTTTGATTTTTTCTTTGTCCATTATGCAATATTTTATAAACTGTACAGCATAAACTGAGAATTTTGGTTGTCAAAATTTTTTTTTTATCCTTTATTTTTTTTCCTTTGCTCTTTCTTTCGAAGTATTATTTGTTTTTTTGATTATTCATTTGATTATCGCCAATGAAATGTCAGCAATTTGCCTTTCTTTTCTTTTGAGCTATATTTTGTTCGTTTAGTTTTATTTATTTATGTTGAATTTTATTTTATCATTAACTGGTTACAATTTGGATTTTTTTAAATCTCATTTGTTTGTTTTATTCATTTATCACTGTTTTTATCAACCGTACTCTGATCTACCATCGTATAAGACTATCTGTAACTTTTCTATTATAATAAATTTTGCGAGAATAGGAAATAAAATACATTATTATACATTATCCTCTGTTCTAATTTTCATTTTTGGAAATCATGTTATCATTTGTCTTTATTAGAATCGTTTTCATATTCGCATGTTTTTACATTTGGAATGTTGGTTTTTCATCATTATTCCGGCTTAGATGAAAATTCTTATTTTTGCTAATGTGTGCAGTAATATTTTTAAAGAGAAGAATTTGATAACCAATTTTGGCTGATATAAGAAATTCATGAATGATTCGAAGATTTCTTAAATTTATGGTTCATCCGCACATTTGTCATTCAAACCGGTCAAAAAGCAAGTCGTCGATATATAAAAAAGAATATCACAGTTTATGCTACTGTAGGGACCATTTTCAGATCGAATATAAATCCACGACAAATCTTTATCGAAGGATTTAATTTGATAGATTGTTAATTCAATATTTTTGCGATTCTAATCACCTTTGTAATTTTTCATTATTCATCTTTACTATTCGACTCTATTCAAATGGAAATTCCAAGTCGGATTAAAAATTAAAAAATAGGAAAAGAAAAAACGTGCTTAATTTCTTTTTTCATTAGATTAAGTTAATTAAGTTTAAAAGGGTCGAAAGTTTTCACAGTTGATATTAAACCAAAGTCCACAAGTTTGAACTATTATATAGATAACAAGAAATGGTCAATGCATTACGGAAACCAAACACTTTTTAAAAGCAGTTACCCAAAAGAATAGAAAGAATTTAGAAGATTCCAATAAACGACAGCACAGACGGAAAATGGCTGTTTAGTGTTCGCAGCCAGATGTTATACCTATTATTCGCACAGTATTATAAACAATTTTATCAAAATGACATCGTTCTTGGCTGCTTAACTGCTCGGCTAAAAATTGTATGGGGATACGAACGGTTCCCGGGAGGTTGTGTACAATGTCCATAAAAATAAGAATGGTTAAATTCCTGAAATCTTAAATCAGATCTTAGATCCTGGAATCTTCCACTTTCATTGATCAAGTTTAGTGGGAGGACATGATACAAATATCCTGCGCTGTAACATAAGGACGTTCACTTTCCATTATGCATAGCTTGTGATGATCTAAAATTCAAAAGAAATTTTAAATTACGCCATCCGACCCACTATCCAAAGGTCGTTTTTTCGATTCTGATGATTCCAAAATTGATGCTAAATATCCTGCTGCTCATTTGATCATCCGTTGAGAGTTCTCTGGCTATCAAAAACAATGTTAAAAACATTCCTTGGCCTCTAAAAAAGCGAAAAAACGCAACAGTAATGGGATTTTATTCATTTAATCTTTGTTTTTGGAGTGACAAAAACTATGAACCTCATGATGAACTGGCCACATTCATGGATAAGCCGATGATTAAACGAGATAATCCATTCAGTCAGTGGAATCAAATTGTTCGATATTAGCTTCGACAGTTAAAAACTATTTGGCAATACCTACAACCCGCATTCTATTTGAATGGGTATTTAATCTTGTCATAAGTGTGTAATGTTCAAAAGCACAGAAATTTTAATTTTTCTTAAGTTGGAAACCATTTTATCCAAAACTTTTGTATGGTCTTAATAAAATTCTTTGTTTTTATACGTTTTGTAATATGATCTTCGGTGTCGATATTCTTATTCCATGTTTTTACTTCGACTGACATGTAAAATTTACCCTTCGGTAAATAAACATATTCCAGTCATACCCGGATGTTGGGTGCTCTACCATATCCAGTTTCAGGTCCAAAGCACTCTCCATTAGGAAAGATGGTCCTTTCCTTAACAGGATTCCATCCTTATCTCGGATCATTTCACAATTGTCTTCCGATTGCTTTGTGAAGTGGGTGGAATAATGTTCGCCTGCTCGGGGTGTTTGTGGTACTGCTAATAATTAGTTTTTTCCTGACATCTCATGGCTTTCTAACAGCGCCGTTCGTTAGTCATCATATCATTTGCTTTTTTTGTTCTGAATCTTGTGGCAAAATTAGATGACTCCTAGAAGCAAGGTTTTAACCGGCACTCATTGGTCGCTCCAGTGGTACCGTCAATGCTAAAATCCTTCAGGTGTTTCAGTACCTCAAGTTGAAATGAAATATGCTAACTGCCTTTGGGATTTTTAGCAAGGACCTGTTAAATTTTGAGGCTCTCACCAAATGGCTAAAAAAGCTGCAAATATGATCAAGTCATCCGCATCGCACCTGCTATGTGCCCAGCAAAAGAATTAATGAAATAAGGGAGAAGAGTTCGAGAAGATATTAGAAAATATCGCGGAATAATAGTAGAGTACCTCATAAGTGAGAGCTACAATATAGATTTTATTATGAGAGAATTAAGATCTATAAAACCTTTTCTCTTCCCATCTCAAATTAAACATAAGTTCCCAAGACATGGCCATTTTTGGCCATTTTAGCTTCTGTTGGGAAAAGGGGCGAAGAGCAACGGGTGAACTGGGCATTTATATATTTTTATATTCGGTTTTTACTTGCTATATTATTTTTCTTTGTAATAGGATTTGACAATGCTTTAGGATTTGTTCTGTTTTATGTATATTTTAAATTACACAAGTTTAAGGATTCGCAATGAGATAATTAAGAAGAGAACGCAAACGCTGGCCGCAGAATTTACAATATTGTTGAGAAATAAAAGTCCCATGTGGCAGGAAATTTATTAAATCTATAAAGAAAACCACAGTGGAGCAGATTCCCGAAGGAATTTTGTAAAGCTAGATGCTGGAAGTGGGATTCGCCGTGCTCTCAACAAAAATAGTGTAGCTAAATTTTCTTTATATTGTAAGTTTCTTTATACTGTGAGCTTTTTTAGTTTCATCCGAGTCGAGGTTTCAACCATAACATAATCTGACTCATGGGGATTACCTGTTTCGATTCCTTGATACGAGCGGTTATCTAGCGGTTATCTTTTCCAACGATAATTGACCAAAATACAGTTTTGATTATATTAAATACAGTCTTGATTATATCTAATATTCTTGAATGCTGATTGTATGGAGAGTTCAATGTATTTATATGCTTGCTGCAGTGCTGAAAGCATGCACTAGTAGCAAATAGTTTATGCTCCCCCGCAAAACGAAGAAGATGCTCTCTATTGGGCACACGGATTTCCACGACATTTGCTTGTAGAAGGTAACGCAGCATCGCGTCTCACATACGCATCATTATATTATTACCATGTTATTTTATTATTTTTTATTATTTCTTTATTTGATGGGTTGTGAAGGCACGAGCAGAGCAGAGTGGTTTGTAGCTTAGGTTATTGTTTGCAGCTTGCGTTTTAGTAATCAATGATTATTCTTACCTCCATAAGAAATAAATCTAATATTAAAAAACCAGGGTCTGGCAACCTATTTATATTTCTAGCCCCAGTGACTCAAAAAATGGGAGCCCTAACAGGAAAGAGTAAACATTAACCACTTATTCAGTGGATTATATGAAACAGGAGATTTCGATAGACTGTTCATAGAATTTATAGCGAGGCTAACGTAGTGCAAGGGCTAGACAAAGCCAAATTTTTTATAAGGATGAATAAGGAAATTTTGATACTTAAATGCTTCTTAAAAATGAACGCGATCTGATATAATATGGTGCCAAAAAAAGATCAAAAGGATTTAGGAGACTTCGAGGGTTACTACAGGATCTGAGAATTCTGCTAAGCAGTTAAAAAGATGTCTCGGTGATTAAATGAGTCTGATATAAGAGGGTAATTTCACTAAGGCAAAATGGCACAGTGAGATTTGATGGAGCAGTAGGTGGACTTAGCCGGGTATTGATTAAAGAGTATTGATGGAATACAACAGGTTCCTGGAAAGGTGCTGCATGGAATCCGGAAGAATAAGGGATTGAAGTAAAGTGGTACTTTGGAGGTGGAAATTACAGAGAACTTAAAAACTTAAAAACGACAGGTCAATATTTAATTGAAATAAGACATTTATGTACAGTGACACACTAACAACTGCACTGCTTAACAAAGTAGATTATTTGGTTGCATTAATGTTAGAATGTCTCCCAATATGGTTGATTGTGCCATATTTTCGTATTGCTTACGTCATTTCCATTATTTTTTTTATCTTTTTTCTCTTTTCTGATTTTCTGACATCATTAAGCAGTGGCTCTTTGGCCTCTTCAAACTAACAGAATCAAAAATTTAAGTTCCATCTGTCGTTCAAAGTTCATAAATAACATTACTTGCAAAAATATATAGCTATTTGTTGTTCGCAGCCTACTTCTACCATCTGATTATTAGCCACTCCTTGTTTGGAACTCCACTGCCCTTTTGAATTCGAGATCTTCCCAGGAAATTCGAGGAAACGAAAGGATGGGTAAGGCAAACCTAAATCCTGGCACGTTGCCAGAGAATCTATTTGGCGTGGAGCACTAAAAGAATTTTCGGAGGTTGGTTATTGATGGCCGCGGTCTTAAGCAAGCAGTGCTCAGTAGTTGTGCGAGCCGAATATCGATCGTATATTTTTGCAAGTGTTTTTAAGATGTCTATTTTGGCAGTTTATTTCTTTGATATTTTATATTTTTGTTTCATAGTAGCTTTGTTCATAAATCATAGTTGCAATTATTCTAATCGTCGTTCTACAATTTAATTATTGTCTCCATCATTCCAATCTATTTTATTTGGGATTTGCATTCTGAGCGCTGTTTTATTGTTTTATAAATAAATATTCCTCGAGGAAAAAACTTGAAATTCACTTTCTTCGATTTTCTTCTATTTTTCTATTCGATTTTTTCTATTTTTGCGAATTTCAGTTTTAATTCGTTTTTCTGGTTGCATTGTTCGTTTTTTCAATTTTTAATTTTCATTGACTGCCAAATTGCTTTTTCCGTTCGCATTTCTTTTTTATTCGATTGGCTATTAGAAAGTGGAAGATTCTCGAGTCACTTTGGAATTGAGGCGCACACACGTCAACCGAGTATTAGCAGTCTTTTAAAGTGTGAGCTGCGTTCGTTATTATGCGCTGATTCGTTTGAATTGTTTGATGTTTTATGTTTAACCATGTTTAACCAAGGAAGGTGTTGAGCCTTTCTTACGTGCAGTTTGTTACTTCAAAAGATGTCCTTTTTGAATCCTGCTTCTATTTCACTTAATACTGGTGATGATGAACTTGGCGGTGAACATGTGCCAGCAGTTGGAGCCAGTGTTGTCATAGAAGATGAGTTAGATGAAAGTTCAGGTCCTGCGATTTCTACTGGCCGTGAAGACGTTGAGGTTGGGAAATTTCATTTTTCGTCAAATTTTTTTTCGTTTTCGTAAATTTTTCATCTTTTGTAAATTCTGTATTGCATTCCTTTTATTTGTTAAAAAACTATTCAAAAAAGTTTAAAATATTATTTAAAAAATTAAAATTGGAGAACTTTAAAGAATTTATTTCGGTGAGCGGTTGTTTTTTTCCGCTCTGCTATTTTCTTGCTGTTTCTCGAATCTTCTAAAATTTCCACAAATAATAACTTTTTTTAAATTTTAAAACGGAAAAGTTCCAGAATATTAAATATAAAATACAACATAACATATATAAAATTTATATAATTTAATATAAAATATAAAAAATATAAAAAATTTAAATAAAACAGAAGCAATAAAACTAAAATATAAAAAAATTTAGTTTATTTTCTTTTATAATAACTTTTGTTTTTAAGTTTTTCGTTTCTTTAATCATCATCTATTTAATTTTTTTGCTCCCTTGATTTTACCTTCCTTGTCTTTGTTTTTGACAGGAGTAAACCTGTCATGATTTCAAAAATCGGTGGACTGAGGACATTGTATATCCCCAAGTGACCCCGCGGTGAAAGGGTCAGATCTTTTTAACACGACGTTCGCTTCCTACGACACGCATGATAATCCCAGCCAGATAGTTCATGCGATAGGTATGCAATTCAGCAATAGTAAAATGACCTAGAGGATTCAGAAAAGAAGAGTAATTGCTTGAAGTCTATCAAAGCAAACAAGAAATTGCCCGCCGATAATACTCTTTATACGCGAGGCGAGGGTGTTAGCCACAGACGCTTCAGAACGCTTATGGAGACTGCAGTTCAAGCGATCATTTACTATATCTCGTTCTTAGCAAAGGTAATGGCTATATTATTGCGGCGCTTCGGATAATTTGGGGCGAAATCGTGAAGCGATTATCATATCTGAAAAAGCTTGAGTGGAAACCGGTGAACGACCGCATGGCCTCTACTCGCTTCGCTTCGAAGAAAGTTCTGTAATATTTCAGTCATTAGTATGTATGCTTCAACTTAACGCGCAGATGACTGCGGTAAGGATAAGTTTTATGCGAAAACTTCCGCTAACAATTGCATGGTCATAATTGGAGTAGACCGAAATGAGCGTGTAGGTCACGGTGCCGCCACGATAAAGTCGGCAAGTGACATGGAAATCCAGTGCGCTAATGGAGAACGCCTTCTCCTCTTTGCTGAAGAGCAGGAAGAACAACTTTTTGTTACTAATGCATACTTCCGGCGTCGGAAAAGACATCTAATCACATACAGCTCCCCGTATAATCAACATTTCAACCAAATTGATTATGTATTAAGCGCCACTGGAAGAGTTTCATAGTAAATAGTTACTCTTCTCGTGGCACTAAAATGGATATCCTTTATGGATCAGACCACATTATAGTTCGAGCTAAGATATGCAAAACAAACAATTCGCAAAAAACAAGATCTTGCAATTATTTTAAAAGACTCATTGGAACTGCCGATGAACAGTGGTCCCAATTAAAGGTCTCATGTCTCCGAAATTCAGCCACTTTCACGCTAGAGCATACTAGTTGTAAGTGCGTTAATTTTATAATGGAAGCAACTGTCTGAAAATACTGCTAAAGCACGAATGTCAGAAGACTCTGCATATCGAATGCTTCAAGGAATTACAATTGCAATACGGTGGGAGAGAGATAGATCTTGGAGTCATATGGCCCTAAACATGTAGACAATGGCTCGATTAGGTGATAACAGAAAATTTTTCCGCCTCCTGCATAAAGCAACCATAACTCGGGGAACGGTCAGTGAAATGATGCAAGATAGCAGTGGTGTGCCTTCTATTCAGGCTATTAATGATCGGCTCATAAGGTGGAAGGAATTCTTTGAGGTTAAGCTTAACCACGATACGCCATCTATTCTCCCGGGTATGGCTGATCCACTCACCGAAACATAAGTTTGTAAGTGAGAATAGCCAATAGAAGAGGAAATAATTTCTTTTATCCATATGCTTAAGGCCAATAAAACTCCTGGACAAGATCTTCAGGTTGAATTCTTCAAATATTATCCGTCATCCTTTATAACACACCAACAAATGGTAAGGAAGAAAGAAATAATAACAGATGACTAGAGAAAAGTAATTATATTCCTCTCTCAATTTCCAAAATGGTTACAGGACATACGGTAACATTATCGAGAAATCAATCTACTACAAATCTTCGGGAAAATTTTTGCTTGTAATAGATAGATTTTGGCAGTACTAGGCATTAGCGTGCTCCTTAGTCAAGCTGCATTCAGACAGAGGCGCGATTGTACTGACCAAATATTCACGTTAAGAAGAGACAGTGCTTCAAATATCGATAACCAATCGTTACTTGTTTCGTCGATTTTGCCTTCAATTCAATTGGTAAAACAGTGTTTTGAAGGGTGGTGGAAAGGCACGGTGTTCGGGAGAATATCATTTGACTCATAAAGGTGTTTTATCAGCATACATCCGCAAAGGATAGTGTATATGGGGCACTAAGTAACATGTTTCAAATAAGAACTGGTGCCTGTCAAGGCTGCGTCTTTTCCTTGCAATATTCAACTATACAATAAACTGGATGATGGACAACGCTTATCGGCACCCTTGAGATGTCCGTCTACAATCAATCCACAGAAATAGATCTTGAATACGCGGATGATGATGTAGTTCTTTGCTGACAGGTATGTCAAAATTCAAATAATGCTAAACAATGTGTCAACTGCACTAAGAATCAGATTCAAGGTTTCATCCTTGCATTATATTGCGGAAACATATTTCATTTTCATAAGCACGGAAGTTTAAAGTATTTCATAGTATATTTTATATTTTTTTATGCTGCAGATCTTTAAAAAATTAAATTTTTATACGCATTCTGGTTTTTTAAATTAAATTTTCATTTCATTTAACAAATCAATCAAATTTTATTTGCGAATTTACCTTATTTATATTTCGCATACACGATTGGTCTTATTTTTTCTTTTGCTATTCCATTTGTCTTATGATTTTTATTGATAATTTTCGGCATTCAAAAATTGCGAAATCGTATGTTTTCTCGAGGATCGAGCAATAAATAAACGAACACAGCAATTATGTTGTGGAAGATTAGATAGAAGCCTTTGTTGTACCATGAACATATAAGTATGAACTAAATTATAAAGAAAAAAGAGAAAGGGGATATATGTAAGAAACTCACAGATCCAGTGTACAACTCTAAAAGTGATATATTCTAAGTGATCCAATGCGCGCCAAAAATCGGAGTCTGAAGATCTACTCACCTTGATTGAAATAGGGTTGGCGAAATGCAATTATAATTAAAAATTCATACTTATGAAGATTATAACCTTCATCCTATGGGTCGTAAGTCTTACTAAGAGAGGTATTATTAGCAATAAATAACAATACGATAAAAAGTCCCTTATATATTTTTTTTAGCTTCTTTATAAAAAAACTTTCGTTCCATTATTTATGTTGATTCTGATTCTTAGTGCAGTTGACACATTGTTTAGCATTATTTGAATTTTGACATACCTGTCAGCAAAGAACTACATCATCATCCGCGTATTCAAGATCTATTTCTGTGGATTGATTGTAGACGGACATCTCAAGGGTGCCGATAAGCGTTGTCCATCATCCAGTTTATTGTATAGTTGAATATTGCAAGGAAAAGACGCAGCCTTGACAGGCACCAGTTCTTATTTGAAACATGTTACTTAGTGCCCCATATACACTATCCTTTGCGGATGTATGCTGATAAAACACCTTTATGAGTCAAATGATATTCTCCCGAACACCGTGCCTTTCCACCACCCTTCAAAACACTGTTTTACCAATTGAATTGAAGGCAAAATCGACGAAACAAGTAACGATTGGTTATCGATATTTGAAGCACTGTCTCTTCTTAACGTGAATATTTGGTCAGTACAATCGCGCCTCTGTCTGAATGCAGCTTGACTAAGGAGCACGCTAATGCCTAGTACTGCCAAAATCTATCTATTACAAGCAAAAATTTTCCCGAAGATTTGTAGTAGATTGATTTCTCGATAATGTTACCGTATGTCCTGTAACCATTTTGGAAATTGAGAGAGGAATATAATTACTTTTCTCTAGTCATCTGTTATTATTTCTTTCTTCCTTACCATTTGTTGGTGTGTTATAAAGGATGACGGATAATATTTGAAGAATTCAACCTGAAGATCTTGTCCAGGAGTTTTATTGGCCTTAAGCATATGGATAAAAGAAATTATTTCCTCTTCTATTGGCTATTCTCACTTACAAACTTATGTTTCGGTGAGTGGATCAGCCATACCCGGGAGAATAGATGGCGTATCGTGGTTAAGCTTAACCTCAAAGAATTCCTTCCACCTTATGAGCCGATCATTAATAGCCTGAATAGAAGGCACACCACTGCTATCTTGCATCATTTCACTGACCGTTCCCCGAGTTATGGTTGCTTTATGCAGGAGGCGGAAAAATTTTCTGTTATCACCTAATCGAGCCATTGTCTACATGTTTAGGGCCATATGACTCCAAGATCTATCTCTCTCCCACCGTATTGCAATTGTAATTCCTTGAAGCATTCGATATGCAGAGTCTTCTGACATTCGTGCTTTAGCAGTATTTTCAGACAGTTGCTTCCATTATAAAATTAACGCACTTACAACTAGTATGCTCTAGCGTGAAAGTGGCTGAATTTCGGAGACATGAGACCTTTAATTGGGACCACTGTTCATCGGCAGTTCCAATGAGTCTTTTAAAATAATTGCAAGATCTTGTTTTTTGCGAATTGTTTGTTTTGCATATCTTAGCTCGAACTATAATGTGGTCTGATCCATAAAGGATATCCATTTTAGTGCCACGAGAAGAGTAACTATTTACTATGAAACTCTTCCAGTGGCGCTTAATACATAATCAATTTGGTTGAAATGTTGATTATACGGGGAGCTGTATGTGATTAGATGTCTTTTCCGACGCCGGAAGTATGCATTAGTAACAAAAAGTTGTTCTTCCTGCTCTTCAGCAAAGAGGAGAAGGCGTTCTCCATTAGCGCACTGGATTTCCATGTCACTTGCCGACTTTATCGTGGCGGCACCGTGACCTACACGCTCATTTCGGTCTACTCCAATTATGACCATGCAATTGTTAGCGGAAGTTTTCGCATAAAACTTATCCTTACCGCAGTCATCTGCGCGTTAAGTTGAAGCATACATACTAATGACTGAAATATTATAGAACTTTTCTTTGAAGCGAGCCATGTTTACCGACTTGCACAGCCGAGCATTTTCAGACATTATAGCCGTTTTACTTCGAGTTATCTGAAACAATAATACAGCCAATGTCTTTGCTCAGATCCTGGTTTGGTAACTGATCCGAAGTGCAGAAGACGAATTTCTGACAAGCATGCGACATCCACACGATGTTTGCAAAGAGTAGACAGTGTTCACTTGCTTTATGACCCCCATAAGAACTTCATGCAGCTATGGCCTTTGAACCCTTCGACGGATGTGCAGATTGCCAACGAATAGTTTCTCATTTCGCTTGGTAATTTCGAACAGTTGCACTGGTTCGCGATCGTTATAATTTCAGACTTACGCTGTTTTGCTACGCCGAAATTGCATACTTATCGCATGTACCAGCGGGCTGGCATATAACATCTATCATGCCCGTTGAAGCACATGGACGTGTAAATACCTGATCCTTTCAGCATAGAGACAATTGGAAATAAAGTCATAGATGGTCTCCAACAGCCACTCGGATTTTTGAAATCATGACAGGTTTATTCCTGTCAGAGACGAAGAAAAAATTAAAGATGAAAATGAAGTGGAAAATAAAAAGAAAAATAAACTTAAAAAATGGAAAACTCATCGCAGAGTTAAAAGCTTTAGAAATTTCTAGAAAATTTTATACGAGAATGGATTTATGAATGAATTGTCGAAATGGAATATTCTTGAGAATGGTTCAGTGGGTTGTTGCACAATTGGGAGCGGCGAGGCTGAGGTTCCATTCTCCGCAGGAGTAAACCTGTACAAAAATCCAGGTGATGCTGGCTACTCTCACCTGTATTTCTATTGCCAAGGGACTCACTGGCATATCGCCCAATGCGACAAGCCAGTTGGGCGAGTTTAACCAGTAATGATGAGGACTCTAAAAAGAAAATTTTAAATTATAAAAAATAGTAGCATAGGGGTATGGGGGGAGTACCGTTGCAGCCATGGGTTTTAGGAAAGAATTATAAAGTAAAGAAGACGTTGAGAGTATTACGGATTTCGAGCAAATTTCGAGTCTAAAATCTATCAAAGTTCTTCCCCATCGTCGTTAAATAGGGTCCTTTATTCGTCCTTTATTCCCGAAATTGGATTATTGCCCAAATTATTGGATTATTGGATTATTATTAGAATTTCCTTTTCCTGCAAAATTCCCTTTTACTCTATTCAGTATCTTTTTAAGCCTTAAATCCTTACCTCATTAACACTTTTCAAATCCCAGCAAATTCTAATGCTTATCAAGCATGACGTGCCAGTAGTAAATCTAGTAGTAAAACCACTCCCTGCTTATATGATCTAGTCTTTTGGGCATCATTATAGAGCTTTGTTTGGCCTCTATTGTTGACTTGTTATTATCCTCCACACCCTCAAAATTTCTCAAATTATCTTTAACATCTGATCAAGAAACATCTTTTTTAGAAGTAGGTTGTAAAATTTTCCTCAAACGCCCTTGTAATATGTTTACTTTTGGCATGCTTTAGTGCTCAAAGCCGACTTTTTTTCATTTTCTCAATTAACTTATAATTTTCTCGAGATGTCTGGGTTAAATCACAAAAAAAAATAGATTTGAAAAAATCACTTAAAAAATTGACGAACGAAACATTTAGGGTAGAAACCAACTTAAATGCCTTTGCTGATTAAAATAATCTTGTTGGGACTAGTACCGTTACCCAAAATAGTCTTCTAAGCGTGGCTCCATTGTCTTTTAGAATGGGATCCATTCACTTAGGGATCGAAGTATAAGTGGGTCCCTCTCATTAAGCGAAATGGTTCGAATTAGCGATGATTTGACCTTACTCGGTGCAACATGCTATTCGAGCATCGTGTTCGTAAAGTATCGAATACAAATTATGCAGAAATAATCAAATGAATTTGATTAATCTACACTGATTGTTGAAAGTGACAGATAGGCTTGACGTGCCATGTGTTTCATAGTTTAAACGGAATCATAAGAACAAAGTAAATCAATAGATATCATAAAAGGGAAATGTTAATGGATCCATTCCACAATCTTCTTTAAAAGTCACTACCAATCCCCGAAGAGATGTCGGAAATAAATAATTCGATATCCATTGGGTGGATGCTTTCCCGCCCATTGCATCTTATTTTATTTTTTTAAAGATATTGAGTTATTTGATCTTATTAGTATTTGAAAAATATAAGTTAAAGTGCAAACTAAAATGAAACAAGTGGTGAAATATATATATCGTGCTGTTCCTGTCTTATAATTATTCACAAGAGTCAGTTATCAATTTTCAGATTCTTTCTTATAAAATATATAAAATATTGAAAGGGTATTATGGATCTATGAACAAAAACGATAACAAATAAAAATATTTAGAATGCTGATGGGTCTGCAGCATCCGACGTTATCGAATTTCGAACAGCTCCAAGAACTCGTAGAAATCACCAACCAGTTTTTTCATCCACTGTGATTAAGGGTATAAATTTGCGGTATTTAATTTTCAGTTTTATTCTGTACGTATATTGCAAATGACAGTTAACTATTCATCTCTTAATCTCCATGCCATAGATCAAAGGTTAGGTACTGCTGGTTGAAAGGAAGATATTTTTTCTTAAGAGAAATGATGATTGGATTTTTGTTGTAGAAAGTTAGTTGGAAGGGCTTTAAAAGTAGTAATTTACATTTCCATTGGTAGAATAGAATTATTTCTATATGCTCAACAAATAGCAATCGACGCTATCCAATTAACCGAAAAGTTCCGACAAATTCCATCGTTTTGCGTTTATTCAAAATTGTTTATTTCTTGTTTTATTGCCCATATTCGCTGCAAAACACACGAATAAATTGAGCCACAAATTTTTATTATTTAAATCATAACAGCATAATGTTCACCAAATAATATTTTTTATAAAAGAATATGATAATTATCACTGATTTAGGGCGATATCACAATTAAACAAAGGGTGGGTATTCCTTTAGATACTTTGATTCCTCAGCCATGTTATCCCATGGCTACTCAGCAAAAAAGCTGAATTTTATTTTTGGTATATAGTTTGTAGATGTGGACAAAGAGGATAACACATAACGTCGTTTTCCACAAAGCCTCTTTTGGTACCGAAAATAATTCCGTCAGATTTCAGTCGTTTTTTAAATTAGATAGTGGTGCTAGTTTTTAGAAATTTTTTCATCTCGTATAAAATGATCATTTCAGAGGAAACGATGTATGATTCAAATCGGATATCTTCGCGAAGAGTTTCGGTGTGTATTTATATGGAGTTTTCCTGAAAATAAAAATATTCCTTATTAAAGAAATTTTTGTTCGAATTAATTGGGAGGGAGTATTTTGTTTTTATTTTTAAATTGTTAATTTCTTGTTTTGTTGTCCAGTTCTATTTAATTTATTTTTAATTTAATTCATTTTCTATTCATTATAAAAAGTCTAATGCAAAGAATTATTGAGAAATTTTTGGATTATTTGATGAAAAATTTTAGGTTGATAAGATATCTACACAAATGTATAATGATTGTGTTACATTATTGACTGGAGGAGTTGTAAGTGTTAATGATGAAGAATATCGACGACAGCTAGATGCACTTGTAGACAGTCAGGAATATACGGTATTTTTTCGTTAGATGCGTATAGTCATCTTTTAATACCTTTGATACCATGAAATTGATACCTTTTTTGTATGAGACAGAATAGCTGAGTGGATAGTATTTAGTAGTTCATGTTGAGTGGCAAACATTCTAATGCTACTCCCGATAGAAATAAACCTATCATTTCACCAAGTGACTTTATGGCAAGAATTTCTAACCGGATTTACAGTAAGTGGGACTAATCTAACAAGAATTGGTTGACGCCAACCACTTTTTTTTTTATATTATTAAGCAAACTTTTGGATAGCAATTATTTTTTTAAGTTTTTGGGCTCAGTTTGACTGAATTTTTTTTGCGAAATTAAATTTATCGGGTTTTTATTTGTTTGTAATCATAGGTAGCATGCGATGTATATGATGAAATACTTGGCCACATGGATTATGCAGTTATTAATTTGCCAACTAAACGAATACTGTTGACAAGTGAGCAAAGACAACAAGTGCTTGAAGCTGTTGTGGAACGATTTAAGGATGATCGACATCCGATTGGTAGTTGTCTGCAGTTCATACAAAATAATTACATTGGATTCCCTCCTGTCATAAAGGTTTCTTTAATTTGAGATTGTCTCAAATTTTGTTTTCAGATAATTCATATTAAGTTTTTTGAAAATAAAATAATGAAAGTGAATATTGCTGTTCTTTGTACGATTAATTTATTTCTTAATTTAATTTATTTTTTATTTTCTATTCAATATAAATCTGACCGGATCGTGGGCATTAAAAATTTTTTTTTTATTATATGGTATGATTATGGTTTGATTTGTTGCATTTTAGCTTAGAAACGCACTTTTGGATTGCTTAAGTCAGATTGCACCGAATGCAGTTGAAGATGCGTCAAAGGAGGGTGGTATAATTGGATCAGGAAATGGTTTTGGTAAGGTAGCAAGTGACGGAAAGGGATTGGAGGATGGCGGACATGAAATGAAGCAGTTTCGACGTCCAAATGTTAGAGGGTCTCGAGGTTCCGGTTTTTATATATCAAACACCCCCCATACGTTCTTTGTGGTTTTGGAGATACTCTTGAGCTATTCAAATTTTATAATTATTTTAATATGAAAATTTATCCTTTTCTTTGGTTATGGCAAATTTATAGGCTCATCAATCATCAATTTGAATACGCCAATACCAGATAATCAGTATGATGTTTTGGCGCAAGTTCTTGCTGGAAAAATGAATGTTGACGATATTCAAGATTGGATTATCAAAGAGGCAATAAAGGTATTAATTTAGAATTTTGTATTTTCAAATTTTTTTCTCTTTATTAATGTTTTTTAATGTATTATAGAAGTTATTGCATATATTTATAAAGTCTTATTTTACTTCGTTACGTTTTCTTTATGTCTGCGTGAATATTTTTTCAGTTTTTTTCGTTTTTTATATTTTCTTGCGGCTAATACAAATAAATTAATCGATCATATAATCTTTTCCTATTTGCTTGTCAACTAGTTTTTTTTTTTTTTTTTTTTTACAGACGCGTTTGACAGGTGAATTTATTGCTGAATATTGGGATGGGCCTCGAGAATTCTTGTCTGGTGGCTGGAGAATTCGCTTAAAAAATTCCATGAAAGTGGTACCGAGAAAAAGTGAGGTTGATGAGGTGTTAATTCTTCGAAAGCGTTTCTTTTCTTCATTTTTTTGCAGTAAAAGGCCGATTTTCTAGAAGTATCATATTTTTAGATTTGGCGTCAGTGCAGTGAAACAATGGGCCATGACAGCTCTCAAAGACAAATTCTTAACTATCTTGATACGAGATATGTTGGTATATCCACACGATCTAGGCTGCGTTTTGCAAACAAGGACATGTTATTAAAAGGAACTCGGGTTCAGTTTCCATCAAAACCACGCTGTATTGGTAGTAAACCGATGCAGTATGTTCAGGTTATTTCTTTTTTGGTAGATTTTATAATCTTTCTTTAATGATCTATTTAAATTTTTATTTTGTTTTTTTTCGACTAATAATTTAATTTTTATTTTTAATAAAGATTGATATGATTGAAATGGAAAGCTCAGAATACGGGGATCGTTGCTATAGTATGGCCTTATTGGTCACTGATTTATATTCTCAATTTGTATTTGGAAGAGCGTTAGCTGATACTGCAGACTCTTCTTTGTTGGTCAGACATTTGATGGATATTTTCGGTGCATTTGCTCCGCCCGGTATTTTTTGTTTGTCGTTTGTTAAATCCATTACTTTTTTTTCTTCATTTTTTAATTTTTTTCTTCATTCTTTTCATTTTTTAAAAATATTAATTGAATCATAAGTCATCTCTAGATTCATTTTACATAGTTATTCAGTTACTTTAAGAAGCGTATCGATCGTATACTAATAATGTGGTAATCGGACATGTAATGATGGACATAGAAAAGCTATTCAAAATACAAATAAAGAATGTCGGTCAAGGTGTACGTATCTATCTTTTTTTGTTTTTTTTTGACTTTTCATCGATTTTACAAATTTAGTTTCACTGAAACTTTTTTGATTGCAACGCATCTTAAATAGGTTATGTGTCACTACAATTTGCGGGCAAGTATGTACAAACGAGCTGAAGAAGAACTAGGCAGTCGAGAACGTTGGGTAGAATCACTACCATTCGCTGTAATCGAATATAATCAACGGCCTTTGAAAGGTTTTGGCGATGTTAAGATTTCCCCTTTTGAAGTTAGTTCTTTTCCAATTTCTAAAATTCCTTAAATAATTTCTGGAGAGATTCATTTTTTTCCATAGCTTTAATTTTGTTCAAAATGCAAAGAATTTCAATAGAGCAGTTTTTTGCTAGGATAGGTCGCTTTTTTTGATTTTTGTGGTTGAAAATTGTTTTCATTTCCAGATCATGTTCGGTCGCAGACCATGGAAAAACGTCCCATTTCCCCCTTGGATTCAGGGTGGTAATGAGAGAATATCAGATGAAGAGTTTGAATTTGGTAGGTTGATAAATTTTTCTGTATTTTTTTTTAAATTGTCGGTTGCTTCTCTATTTGAATTATATGAATAAATCCATTCAGATGGCGAAACCGAACACAAACGTGCGATTGAAAGCATCGGTGGTGAGATGGTATTTTTTTCACTTCATGAAAAGAATTCTGAAATTATTTTTTGTGACATATTTTTCGCACTTGCATTTTGCAGAACATGGACTTTGATCGAGGTGTTTTGGCATCATTTCATCGTGGTCCTAAGGGTGATGCAGGTGCAACTATTGCTAATATATATCTTGGTGAAATGTCAGATAATCGAACCAAAATATCATATGTGCTAGGGCGCTATCCGGCGAAATTTGATGAAAGTGGTGAACTTGTTGACCCAGGAACTGGATTTATGTATGAGACTGGTGATCATGTTTATGTGAGCTTTTCTTTTACATGGAAAGCCTTTTTTCATATGGCCTGTGGTAGCTTTTTAGCTCCTGGTAAAGCTCAATAATGTATCGCAACATTTAAAATTTTTTTAGATGCGAAATGTTACACATAAAGATTTTTTCAATAAAACGAGAAAGCGATCTAATATTCCGAGATATTTCCGTGCAACAATTGCCGAGGTTGATCGTGCTAATCCTGATTTTATGTACAGAGTTTACTACTGGGATGATGTTGTTAACGTCGATGCAGTCTCTAATGATCAGTGGCCTGATGAAAGTGAATTTTCGTTTCTCTTCTCCTATTGCTGCTCCTATTGCTTTTTTAATTACTGTTGAAATAATTTTAGAATAATATATTGTTATAGAAAAAATCTTATATGAACAAAGTTTGAATGGAATTTTATATATATACTTTATATGGAGTTTTATATATACTTTAAAATATTTTCAGGTTGTTCGTGTGCTTGGGTTAGTCCTTATGATATCGCACCTTCTACTCCGGATCTTTCTCGTCGTCGAAATATAGGTATGCTTTTAGAATATGTGATGTTTTTTGTGCCTTTAAGTCTGTCGGTTGTTCTTCAGGATTGTTTTCGATGAAAAATTCGCTCTTTTTGTTTTTTTTTATTTATATTTTTTTAATGCATTTTATTTTAAATTTAACACGCTTCAGTAAGACGAAGAGAGATGGAATATCAATGTAAATGTGGCTATGATTTCTGTGAATTGGTTTTTAGTGAAAAATGTCCATTTAAATTATCGCAAGCTTGCTGTCAACGCCTAAAAATGAATTGCCCCTTCCATTCAAAAAAAAACTCACCAAATGAAGTCATCACAGCTAAAAAATTAAGTTTTTCAATGATTGCATAATCATTTGCCTTCATTTTTAGCTAGAAATTAAAGGTTAAATGTAGTTTATAAAAACTTCAAATGTTTTTATCCTTATATCATTAACTGTAAAGTTATAAGTGAAATTCTTAAAATTATTGTAATTGGAATTGCTATATTTTGAATACATGGTAGAAAAAATGGAACTAAAATGGTTCATGGTTCCTTTTTAAATTCCTATTAAACCAGTTGTCATCATGAAAAATTAATTTATCTTTTTTGTTTTTCTTCTAAATTCTTCCCAGTGCATTTTCGAATTAAAATTTTACCTCCGAAGACAATATTAATTTTTCTTTATGATTAAAATAAAGAAGTATTTATAGAAAAAAAAAACATCAAAAAATTATGCATTTATAATTGACAAGTAATATTCAGAATTGCCAATAAGATGTAATTAAAATGTGTGAAAAGCTTCAAATAAATTTAGAAATGTTTTCTTCAGGATCATCGAATAAGAGAAGCTCCTCCACGAACTTTTATGCAACACGAACTGAGGCTTGTTTTTATTTTTACATTGAATTTAATTGGTTTAACATTATCAAACTAAGAAGGTTGAGTTACTTTATCATTTCATAATTTTTGGCCTATGTTTTTAGCCTGTTGGCTTGTTTGCATTTTTGTATTTTTTTGATTTTGTTTTACATTTCTTTGTCATTTTTCAGGAGAAGCCTTGGGATATCTTTATCAAGTGATGATACCAGGAGAAGCATTTCGATGAAAGATATCAGGCCTAAATGGGTTTATCAAAGTTTGCTTTATATATAGCTGAGTTAAAAAAATAAAATTGAAAGTATATAAGCCTAAAATATTGTACCTTTCCTATTTTACTGTTAACTGTTTAGGACTGCATATATTTCAGATGGTCGTATTGTTGAAGTTTCTGCATCACCAACATCAATTCCCGATGCACAGCCTCAAGCACGAGTTTCTCACACTGATGAACACAGTGATGAACACACACCTGCGAAGCGAAATAGACTAGAGGTATTGTGTATTGTTTGGATGTTCATAAAAATCTGCAAAGAGACATGGTAAAATGGAAAATTTTGAATCGGCTTGCGGAATTTTAAAAATTTAGAAGTGCTTCTTTACAGTTCGATCGATATGATTCGTCATCGGACGGATTTTTTGATGATGATTTTGAAGATGACATCGATGATGAGCTTGATATGTCGGTAAGTTATCGTTTTTTTGCATTTAATTCAATGTTTCATTGAATTTTTAACAAAAGTTTATCGAACGTTAATTCTTGGGCTGTTTTTTTTCTTGCAAATTTTGCATATTTTGACGGTATATAAAATTTTCAGTTGATATGAAACTTTTATAGATCGATGGTACAGTTGCTCGAGCTATTCCTTACCATCAGTTAATTGCTAGGACAAAAGGTTTCTGATTTTATTTTATAAAAACTGTTTAATAGGTCAAGTACTTTTTGCATTAAAATTTTTCAAATGGTTTTTTAAATTCATCATGTTTTTAATTTGAGGAGTAAGTATTGCTGGCAATGTACAACCAGAAACATCGGACGTTTTGCGTTCTGTGCCATGCACCATTACACGATCAGCAGATCGCACTATTCAAAGAACTACACAGTCGGCTTACCCAGTAAAGTTTTTGGTGATTTTTCATCTCTTTTGATCGAATTTTTGGTAATTGCTATGAAAATTTAAGGGAAGAAGTGGAAATTTGTTGGGTGCCACTAATCGAATCCAACAAAAAGCAGTTTCTAATTTAGCCAGAACAACGGAGAGGGCAAATATCGGTGCAACTACGAAGGTATAGTACATTTTAAATATTGCATGAAATTCAGACTCTTTATTTCTGAACGTTATGCCATAATTGTTTATTTTATTCAAATTTCAATTCAGTATTATTCAGTATTTAGTTTGGGCTATTTTTAAGATATCAGAACGAGATGGGATACGGAAGCGAGTGTCAGCTCCGCCAAGACGTTTAAGTCCAAATCCAGCGTAAAATTTTATCTCATGTTTGATCTGTATATTGAGAGGCATTAGTAAAAAAGTGGTTGGCATACATCCTATGATATGATAGCATCGAAAATTTTTTACGTTATTTTTGCTTTAAAATAAAATATTTCAGTATTGATATAAGTGGTTGTTATCGTTTTTTTTGCGCAAACTTTTTTTGGTTACCTTTTGTTGTTCTTCTCTTGAAAGGAGCATTAATTGGCATTATCTTTTGCTTTCTCTTCATTTACTATTACTTTCTTCTCATTATTTTTTATCCATATTACAGATTTCATTATCATATAGATATCTGCTTCGTATAGCATGATTTATTCCTTTTATATGAAATGTATAAAGACTTGAAATCTTAATACAAATAGAATTTCCATGAATATTTTCGAACGAGGCTAAATACTTCAAGTATCATAGTTTTCTTCGGACCATCGTTGTAGGATTGTTTTTTGGGTTATTTTGTTTTTGCTATAATTTTTGTTGGTATTTTATCCATCGCGCAAAATTAGTTGCTGTGTGTGCTTAAGTAATTAATCATATTAAATATGTTAAGATACTTAAGTGTTCAAAAAATCATAAATTTATTTTATGATTCACTTAATATTAAATTAAACATACGGTTAGATGTCGTGAAAAATTGGAATCACTTGGAAAATTGGAAGATTTGGTTTATGTCGCTCACATATGTCTTCAAAGTCCGCTAGCAAAAATCTTCATAGATGGAATTTTGGTGAATTTCTGAAAAAGTGAATATATTCTCAATTCAAGTTGCTGACCAAGCATTGAGTACTGCTAAAGATTTTTGCGGTTGAGATCCACAGAACGGTGTAAATTCCATTAATTATCTATTCACTGAGGATTATCAGCCATCAATCATTACGGTTTAGCGCCGTATTATTTTCGGTGCCCTTTAGCAATAAATGCGGCTCTTTTTATTTGTGCCGAAGTTCATTGAATTCTAGCATAATTGTTTAGGCTCAATTGGAGTGAATTAAGGAATGTGGTTGATCTATCGCAAATTACCATTATGGTGTTTCGAGCGGAAAATATTTGAACAGTGAAATTTACTTGATTTTAGGTGCAAAAAAGCCAATATCCGGTTAGCTCCAAATATATTTGAGCGTATACTGGATGTGGAAAAATGCATTTGTTACTCCTTGTTATGCCTTATTATGCCGTGTTTCCAATTTTCTTCTTTATTTAAGTTGTTAAGGTCGAGAAATTAAGGGGGTTGTATACAGTTTCAGTTGCAATATAAATTTTGGGGATTTTGAAATTAATATTCGAAAAAATACGTTTTTTTTTGGTATTTTTGAAGTTTATTTGCTCTTTTTTTACTAATATAGTGTTCACCATTCCCGTTTTGGTTAGTTGCACTGACCATCTTTAAAAATTCTTTCACCGCTCACATTTCATATTTGGTAGCGGCCAATAGGACCAGATGCCGAAGTGGATGGTGGATCAGATTATCGTGTTAGGATGCATGGTTTCAATTCATTCATTACAAACTATCCTGGTTGTGATAGTGGCTCATCTGTACTTCTGTCGCCAAATGAAAGCAAAGATTTCTGTAATAAACGTAATAACTGTACTATTTCTAACAGCCAACCTAACTAGAAATGATGAGCGTTCTCAGAAAAATGGCTTTTAAATATTGCATTTTCCTACTTATCGGTTCTAATTTGTTCATTTATATTCTCTGGCTTTTTTGTGTTGAAGTGTGTTTCTGACGCTTACCACTGCTAATTAAACTCGGCCGGGTTGTCCGCCGAGTTGTTGGACCAGACAAATCTTTGCATTTTTGCATTTTTCGACAGAACAGGTAAATAGCCAACATCAGAATTTTCGAAGAAAAAGTTAGCTCTTGTCGAGCGTAGAACCTCAGCATCAGAGCTCCAAATTGAGCAACTGAGCAACTGAGCCATTTTACCCCACTTTTCTTCCACTGTTCGATGAAATCCCTCATGACGATGCGTCGACTTAATCCTAATCCGAGCCATTCTACTAAGTTATATTGATATTATAATAAAAAATTTTGTCTTACCTTGTTTATTGGAAGTAACGTGTATTATCTTCGTAAAATATGAATTTAAAAGTTTAAAGCAAAAATGTGAAAATAAATATAAAGCTGAATAACATTATGAAGCAGAAACCAAGTATTTTAGGCATTTATTTTTTATTAGGAATAGTAAAAAATTATTTTGTCCTGTATATTTGTTTATAAGAAGCTGGGTAAGCAAATATTTAATTAAATAGGGTCAGACACAATAAAAAAAAAAGATGATGAAGCTCTATTATCCTGGTCTTGCACTCGACAGGAGTAAACTTGCCAAAAAATTCATGGGCTAATGAAGATCCACTTCTCTTCCACTCGTATTTTGTCTTTAAGTGACTCCTTGGCGAGATTTTCTTACCCTGTTAGTTGCTATTAGTTATTGCAACAAGCCTAACCAGAAGTGATGGGTACTAACCACTTACTGAAAGTATACATTAAGATCAGATTTATTATTGGCCCACACAATTTTTTTTAGATAATAGGTAATGAAGATTATTCATTTAGTGGCATCTGAAATTTGCTAAAATTGTTAAAAATTTGTTTTCAATAGATTTTTATGAAAAAAATTCCAAGTTTTGTTAAAAAGAAATTGCTAGCTGGATTCTTTCCTGGATTCTTCTTAGATTTCACAAATTTCCAATAAAAAATTCAGTTTAATTATTATATTATCTGTAAATTAGTGATAAGGAAAAAAAAGTTAAAATAAATGGCGCCCAATTTGACCTCTGGTTTATATTTTCCACTCATCCATAAGAGACAACAGTGATTTTCCCAAAAAAGATTACATACTCGACGAGGTGCTACTTAGGGTTATTGAAATGGAGGCAGTTTTTAGAAAAAAATTTTTTCTTTTTGCTTCATGAATAATCCCTACCTATTATATTCAAAAAAAGGCTTTGTATTACGCGATGATAAAAAAGCACAGCTGCAAGGGATTTAGTTGCGAAATATCCCAAATCCCCTAAATGTAATCAATAGTGCAATATTTAATTACTTAATATTTTTTTTACTTGATAGTTAAATGTATTTTATGGAGTTGCATGGGGCAAAATATTTTTAAAGTAATATATGATCGATGTTGTTGCTTTATTTATTTATTCTTTTGGTAAATTCACGTAGCACCAATAAATTTACATTCTAAGAATTAAAAACTGGAACAAAAAATCACAATTAGCACTTTTTTCTTTTTTTCGACATTTCCCTATCATTTGCAATCATTTTAAGAATTACTATTGGCAACATTTCATCATCCATGGAGCTTCTTACTTGAACTAACTTTTCAAGGGTTTCAGGCCTTATAAATTTAAATTTGCCATTCTCGACAAATTATTTTGGCCAAATAACTTTTTATGTTTTTTTAAATGCTGCTGAACTAAGGTTATCTTATACAGTTTCAGAACTGATGCTGCAGATGTATGTTAATTACCTAGTCTCATTTGCTAATAACTATTTAACGATCATCTAACCATTAATTTACTTTTTTTCTTTTTTTCGACATTTCCCTATCATTTGCAATTATTTTGCAATTACATTTGCGATTATAGTTATCCATTAGTCGATTTCTTTAATTCGATAATGGTTTTATTCGATATAATAATTAAATGATAAAAAAGTTTTGTATTTTTTTTCATTGTTTTACACCAGTTGAATGAGTATTTTTATTATTTCTCAAGCACCAGGTAAACGATAAACCTCTCATTAAAAAACCTGGCTGGTGCTGGCTACCTTCATGAACCATAATTTTGCAAGCAAATTAGCCCTGATAAAAAACTCATCCAATAGAGTGAGCCTAACCGCAAATGGCGAGCGTTAATCATTTCTATATTTATATTTTAAGCTAACCAAGTTTATTACGACAAACTTATTGTAAATGCTGCATATTTAATTGATGGATCTGAACATATTTTATACACATTATTTAATTGAAATTGAAGAAAATGCAAATTTTTGTATTTCATTAAAATATTAGCAAGGACAATAGGTGTTCTTGAATTAATCAAATGTGTAATAGTCAACATATTTGCATAGATTCACTTTCCAAATATGCAGCATTTACAATATGTGTATAAAATATAAGGTCACCGAGGCTAATCTCTTACACAAAAGAAAGTCTAATGATGAGTATATGTTTGACTAAATATATCTCTACTCACCTTTCTCACCTATGAGTTAATCCATAAACCTCATTTGGCTTGATGACCTTTAATGTGCAATAGTCACAAACGTTATATATATATAAGGCAATCATTGGAAGGTCAAATGTATTACTTTAATGCTGAAAAATCGTAAAATCCAAAGTTTCGAAATTGTTCTGGTAGTATTCTTTTCATTTATTAATATTAATATTTTCCTTTGCGTATAATTTTTGATTGTTAGATCAGCGATTGCAGTGATTTGTTATTTTTTAATCGATGGATCTGCACAATAGCAATCTGACAACATAGCATCTGATTGTAAAATGATAAAAGTTTTGCATTTTCAAGGATGGATAACACTTTACAACGCTGCATTTTCAAATCGCATTATCTAACTTGCTATGGGTATTCATTATTTTGCATAGTTCTAGAAGAATTTAATGCGAAAAATACTTTTAAAAAAGTTTATTTATCAGAATTCAGTTAGTAATGCAGAAAAAACTGTTTAAATTGAAAAGTGCAAAAATATATAGTCATTTTAAATCGTTTTTATCGGCCCATTAATTAATTTATATTATCATCTTCGTCTTAATTCATATGGCGACAAGTGATGAACAAAATATTGCATATTTTCTGTTTTTGAAAAAAATTTCCAGCAAACTAAAAATTTACACCTATCAGCGCAAAAAAGTAAGTAGCCCATGTATGAATTCTTTTCGGATGCAATTTAACTGAAATTTCATATGACTGGTCTATTTTCTATAATTCTCTAAAGATTACGGCAAATTTTTCCGTAAAATTTTT